TTTATAACATTATCTCTAAAAAACCAAAGTTTGCTATCGAAAAAATAAGAGTTAACGCACAGTCGTGACTCTTTAGAGAATAAGTCAAGCTCAAGCTTGGTAAGATTAATTAAACATTCAAAGCAAAAAGTGAAAAATCAGATGTTGGACTGATAAGGTGTGATATAATTTTGCACTTTTCTTCTTCATATTTCAATGAAACTGGCCAAAATCAAGCTATATTTATCCATTATAAATTCAAGAATATNATAAAAAAAAATTAAGGTTGACGATGAAAATTGTAAGAAATCATGCTTACAAAATCGTAGTTTTAAGACGGGTTAGATAGGAAATGCAAGCTTACGCTATATACAACCTACTGCTGCACTTATATAAATAACCCGTAAGGTGTAAAAAATATACTATCTTGTATATATTATTATGCAGTTTTCGATGACATGAGAAAAGTGTCTTGTTATAGAACAAAATCTTTAAATAATCGGAGACTCAGTATACAGTTGCGAGTGCAAGTCAGCTCTCAGCTGTCTGCATTCTGCAGAGATATACAAAAGTTAGTGCAGTAAGTTATTCATGAAAAATTTAATAATTAGCTGACAGTAACTCTAGTATGTCTTTNATTAGAAAAGGACAGTAGGGGAGACCAGGGCACGCAGGGCACTCTAATTTTATTGAGCTGTATTTCTTAAAGGAATAAGGATTAGAGTTGCTAAAAAATTGTGTTGTATAAGTATGATACCTGTGGACCTAGCCTACAAGTTAAAAAATGATTGTGCAACATTTAAAATTTAGAATAAAAAAAATTGCTCGTTCTTATAAAGCTCTACTATGCTCCAGGGGTGGGGTATGGTGTAGTACGGGCTGGGGAATTCGTAGCGTGAGGGATACATAATAGTTATAAGGTAAGTGCTATAGAAAAAAAGTAAGGTAATTTATTTTTTTATTTTCGAATCTTTCTTTACATTGTAAGTGAACTTATAAAACTAAATCATGAACACATTTAATAAAATTCTTTGGCTTTTTAATATGTTATTCACTGCATTAAATCAAAATAAATTATTAAATAAATTCTGTTCCTCTGGAAAATCAGTAGCAAAAAGGATTGGGCAGTCTGGAATCGATATATTATTTCGATTGCAAATAGTAGAATTCGCACTCTGATGTTCATTTAATTGTACTATTTTGTTAATATTTAAAGCTTTCATCGAATTTCTTTGCGTGTTTTTTGTAGTCTTAACAGGTAAACTACCTAATGTTTACATTGTTCTACAAAAAATTTAACCTAAAAATCAGCTGTGTAATGCTCGCGCCAGAGCTCGNAAAAAATATATATTTTTCATAACGATTTGTAACCCTTTTCCCGAAAAATTGTAAAACAATTTTCAGATTGTTGTTAATCGTAATAAAATTTCGTTCTTTATTCTCACTGTAGACTGAATTTATTTATCCATTTACAATTTCATTTCAAAAAAAAAATTTTCATAACGATTTGTAACCTTTTTCCCGAAAAATTGTAAAACAATTTTCAGATTGTTGTTAATCGTAATAAATTTTCGTTCTTTATTCTCACTGTAGACTGAATTTATTTATCCATTTACAATTTCATTTCAAAAAATACTACAGAAGGTGGAAGGGTGCCTGTACATGTGTGTCTTAGGGTGCCTGTACATGGGAAACCTGCAGTCTGGAGAATGCCAGTCAAAGCTTCGGCGGGCGATTCAATTCAAATTGATAGAGATCAATATTTTTTTTTTTTCTTGCATTCCGTACAACAGACACCTTGTTTTCAATGAAACTAGACTCTGAAGTCGCATTTTAATGTCAGAAATTGATTTTGGTAAAAAATTTCGAGTAAGTATAACAAATGACTAGTTTTTGCTGGCAGCCTGTTACTGCAATTTCCCTGTTTACCGACTAGTCGTTTGTTATACTGACTCGAAATTTTTTAAAACTTTTTACTAAAATCAGTTTCTAAAATCAAAATACGACTTCAGAGTCTAGTTTCATTGAAAACAAGGTGTCTGTTGTACAGAATGCAAGAAAAAAAAAAATTATGATCTCTATCAATTTGAATTGAATCGCCCGCCGAAGCTTTGACTGGCATTCTCCAGACTGCAGGTTTCCCATGTACATGTAGGCACCCTAAGTCACGACCTCTATCATTAGTAAACTTACTATTCAAGTGTTATTTTTACTACTGCAGTTTATACAAGCGCATCGTAATTTTACAAACGATATTGTAAAGTCACTACTGTATTTGTAAAAGTACGGCCGAAACATCAGTCGTACTCTGGTATTACAAGCGTCGTTGTAAACTTACCACCCTTTTGTAATATTACATTTTTTTTGTAAATATACTACATTTCATATGGGTCGTATTTCTGTCCAACATTAAATCTAGTAAATTTACAAAAAATTATTTACTGTGTATTTCTCGGCGCGTGTGCAAACCAATGGGAATGTTGCGCCTCCCCCCCACCTAGCAATCAATCGTTTTAATATTAATAAAAGACTCGATTGCAAACAATGAATAATGTTTGCATTCAGAGTAATTATTTATTATTTTGCTAAAAATGGCTTATTTTAAGGTCACCAATCGAGTTGCGTATATCATGCGCACTGTGGTGGCTGTACAGTGATGGTGCGGCAAGTAGAAACTGCAGTAGAGTAGAAGTAGTTTTTGAGATAAATCGATCGAGCGTCTCGAGTGGCCGGAAGAGGTAAAGAAAATTAATAATTCATCGGCTGGCTTGGAGATTGAGGAACTCCCACGAAAAGGGGAAAAAAAAACATTTATATTCATCACGAGATGGCGTTGAAATATTTTTTTTCGATTTATCAACAACTTAATTTCGTTACTAAATTCATGGAGGATAAAATTGCCGACTGTGTATGCATTGGTATTCTCTCCTCTCCGATATCCCCAAAGTTGATAGAGAAAAGAGGTTCCTGCATTTTTTTCCACGATCCACGGAATTATTGGAAATTAACTCTTACCTACATGAACTATAAAGTTCAATTTTTAATTGATGTTGTTCTTCGTCATTTTTTAGTGTGAGCATAAAAAAAAACATCTTTCGATCATGCAGTGAAATCAACCAAAATAAAAAAGTTGCGCATATTTACCTACACATCTCACTTTGAAAACTACATGGTTCGCAGCAACGAAGACGTTCTCAAAATATTCCTTTTATCGAGCGTCTCGTGAAAGTCTGAATAATTTATTTGTGGTTATCGCTCGTTCAATATACATTTAATGTAAAAAAAAAAGAAATTTCAGTAACTCATGTACAGGAAAGCAAAAGCTTAAGAAAAAAATAAATAGGAAAAAATCACCAATTGTTACAGGGTTTGGGTTTGCAAACGTAAGTGAAATCGGAGTGGAAGAGGAAATGTACGATAAGAGAGACAGATGCACGAATAGAAGCCTCGATCCTCTCTTTGAGAGCTGCTCTCTCGAAATGGACCACATTCTCCGCAAAATGATTTGGCAACAGTGTGTGTTAAAATTTTACAGTTCGGCAAATACATATGTATACATATATACACTTAACTTGTTATTCTTGAGAATCTTGAGGAAGCATAATGAGGATCGACGTATATATATATAATGTTAAAGTAGAGAAGGAGAGAGGTATAGAACGAAATCGTTGCGAAAGAAAAAGTTGAGAACAGAAAACAGCAAAAGCAGAAGGGTGAGAGTGAGAGAGGAAACAAGAGAAAACATCGATGAGCGAGCGAGAATCAATAGTATATCAATAACATGTTAACGCACGTTTATGAAAGTCAACCGCCGTGCACCGCCTTACTTATATAGATTTTAGACAGTTTCGACTCATCTTTTTGCCAAGTAGTTAGCAATTTCAACCCTTTCCCTGTATCGAAAAAAAAAAAAAAAAAAATTATGGGTATTGTGTTATTTGCTCATTGATATGTTCTCGTGAAATAAATAATATCTAGGGGATAAAAAAGGCTAATGGAGAAAAATAAAAAGGAGCGAGTTGCAGCCGTTCCATCAGGAGAACGGGAGGTTGATTATTTGGCGGGAATGCGCATTCATCACAGTACAGGAGAGATAAGCTATAAGCTATAAGATTTTACAAAGTATCTGGATAAAAAAATTTGACCTTTTGAATAACCTAAAATGTATCTGAGCAAAATTTTTTTGGAAACTTTACGGGAAAAATTTATAATCATTAAACTGTGGCGATCTGATGGGGAAAAAAATTCTAAAGGAATCTATCAAGCCTTATTCAATCGAAATCGATGCTTCAGATGTTATTTAATTAATTAATAATGTATATGTACGGATAGCCATCATCGACACTTCCCCTACCGTTGTATTTGTTTGATTCAGAATTGTTATTTAATTGTTGATTAAAAAATAACTACGCCACCGATTTCGATCGCACTCGGCTCAATGGATTTTCCTTTTTGATTTTTTTCTTCATCTCTGAAACTTAATTTATCGATACAAGCGCCCAAGTAAACGTGCACAGTAGTACCTATACAATGGCAAATATCCATATAAAAAGGAGGTAGTTCTAGGGGGGAGGGTGATATGGGGATGGGGGTAGTCCCTACCCCTACCCGGTAGGGTAGCTTTGCGGAGAAGAGGGGGGCTGAAAAAAATTACGAGGGAAATAAAAAGGGGAAGGTTGAGATGAATGTACGAAGGTGTTAAATAATGGATAGATAACTTTTTATATTAATATGATTTCCATACCAAGTTTACGTAGGGTTACATCATAAACCGATCTTAAACATGAAAAAACTTCTTATTTCAAAGTACTTGTGTAGCGGCTTGCCAAGTTGGCAGATTTGACGAAAACCATAGAAGAGGGGGTTGGTATTGGTTATAAAAAGCTCCCCTCTCTCTTTTTCTCATTCGGAAGGGCAAGGGAAGGATAGAGGAGAGGGGGGTGGCTCGTGCGCGCGGACAAGTGACGCCGCCAACGCCGCACGCTGCCACCGTCAAAGCAGCTTGGAGGCATTGCTTACACGACTCTCTGCGCCGGAGATTTGAGTAGTCAGTCGTCGCTTGTTGATCGTCAAAGGCCAGTAGTCCCCGGACAGTAGTGAGCGTTTCTTGCCAAAGTCAAGGAGTTGTCACCCACCTGCATTCCTCGTTGTTGCTGATTCTCTTCCAGGAGGTAAGGTCCCGTAATTATTAAATACACACTCAACCAGCTGAGTAGTTTCTGCCTGTCGCGAACGGTTGGTGTAAATAACACACTTGCGCGCGCGCGCGCGCGCCTCGATCTTGAATCAAGTGCTGACGCCTTCGTGGCCGGTCTTCGCTCCAGAGGTCGGGCTCTCCTCGTGGCTGGGCTTCCACCGAGTTAGCCTCCACGTTTTTCCAAGCGAGTATCCGCGTACTTTCGTCGAATACGAGGTTCCCGCTACTACACAACGCCGAGCTCTCCACGACTGTTGGCCGCCGTGTCATGGCGGCGTCGTCAAGCCGCTCCAGTGGGAGCTCATAATTCGCCCTTACCAATAAACTACGCGTTACGAGAAGACGAAGACTTCGGGGAGTACGAGTCGTTTTTTTTCGGGATTTTTAAAAAAATGTAGCGCTCTTCGAGGCTCTTTATTTTTCGAGATACGAGCGTTCGTTGAAGTTGCTGGGCATCGTTGGACGCCGGGTGAGCGGAGGGTGGGGGACGGTGTTGGATGTGTTGGCGCGTGTGTGACTGTTCCTCGGCGCGTGTATTCGCGAGAAAGGGCGGGAAAGGTCGATGCCATTCGAGGGCGCACGGCTTGGGACGCCACTGTGGTCCGAAAATGTTAATTAATGCCGATCCAAGAACCGAACTCTGCCTCATCATTTCTACTGGTACATATAGGTATAGACAAGTCTTGTAGCAACGGTTGCATTTTTCTTTGATCACTTTTTTTTTTTTTTTTTTTTCCCCCCCCTCTTAATAATCCAAGTTTAGAGTAAAAGATGCGCGCGACTTTGTTTGTTGTGTGCAGTGTTGGAGAAAGAGAGAAGAGAACGCGCGCGCACGGCTATCCGGTACCTGTGCCGAACTCCGCTATGTTGCTCGTGAGCTGAACATCAGCGGCGAGCGTTCGTGTTCACACACAGGCCCTCTTGGCTTCTCTCCCGGCATCCATGATGACAATAAGGCGTCTTTTTAGGAGTTAAGAGCTCTTACGGTCTTGGCTCTTTCCCCCAAATTATTCCAACAATTTTTCGACATTTTTTTGGATTTTTTCCACGTTTTTTTCACCCAAATTAAAATTTTTTTCATTTTTTTGACATATTTCACTCGAAAGATTTATTTGATCAGCTAATCAATTAAGCGTCTGACGATAAAATTTTCACAACTCAATCAATTTATTTACAAATGTGGAATAAAGTTGAGCAATTACTCATCAAAGTGAACAATTTGTTTTTTCCTCGCGTCTGTAAAAAGAAATTAATTTAGTATCACTTCTGAAATACATGTTACTCACAAAAAGATATATTCGTAATCTATCTATAATGATGGTATATAAATTTGTTAAAAATTTCACCTTTGGCGAGGCATGAATTATTATCGTAATTATTAAAATTTTTACAGAAAAAATTGGTCTTGAGGCAATACGTATTAATTCGTTGAAAAAATTTAATTTTCAGAACACGTGTTAAAAGTTCCGTTTGGGTGTAAGCAAATATAAATAATCATGTCGGACGATAACACGACAGCCGTCGAAGACCAGAAGAAGAAAAGGGGAAGACAACCCAAGGCAGAAAACAACAAAGCAGTCAAAGAACCCAAAAAGAGGGGTAGGACCGCAGCAGAAAAGACAAAGAGTAACAAGTCCGACAATGAGGAGGAAGCACCCGCGGTGCCCGCAAAGAGGGGGCGTGGAAGGCCCAAGGGAAGCCACAAGAAGGCAAATAAATTCAAAACTTTTGCTTAAAATAAGTAAATCAAATATATAGATATGTAGGATGGAAAATAACGAATTTTACATACTTTCAGACTGCAGCGACGAAAACTTCTTCAGGACGTGGTCGTGGTCGACCCAAGAAGGTAGAAGAGAAACCCGAGAGTACTGGCGAGGAAGACGAGCAGGAAGAAGAAGAAGAGGAAGAGGAGAACTGAACAAGATAAGCCTGATCAATCTGGATGATTTATAAAACAAGAATTTATGAAATCATGAATACGCCCTTCCTCTATTCTCTATCGATGCTGTCAATAATGACAAATCACACCTGTCTATAATTACTATTATTAGATTATATTATTTTTTAATCATTAATTTTCACTACAACATTCAGCCTGAATATGAAATAAATTTTCGGGGTTTTTTTTTAATTAGGCCCTTCTCTGCCCCTTTTCATAGTTATATACATTTTTATAGGCAACTCTGTTTTTTAATTGTAATTTAGAAATGATGATGGAAAGTCGTTAAAAATGAAAAGAGCGCCAATAAATAAATACATCATCAAAAGTATTATGATACATTTTGTCGTATAAGCGTCGAATTTTTTAACAGCTAATAGAAGAAATCGCGTCTGATTAATTGTGTGTTGTAGTATAAACGATGTGTATTTGTAAGAAACAGTTTTAATTGTAGTCGTGTAATTTTCACTGATCAGAAAGGGTTTAAACTTAGTGATTAATATATGTCGAACCTGGAAGTCCCAATTAAATTTCAATTATTAAAATACAAGAGTCCTATTTGATACTTTCTTTTTTCCACCTGTGCTGCATTGTTCATCGTGTCCCATCTCTTGTAATAATTGATTCTTGCGCTAATTCAATTAGTACGTGTTTTGATGAATTGAAAGTTCATGAAAAGGTTTGTTGATGCTTTGTGTACATCACGGGTGCAAAAAAGTACTTTTTTATTGATAATTAAAAATTAAAATTAAAAAAGTCTTGTTTCTATGCAAATGTTTTTCGAATGAGTGTCAAATTTGTATTAAAGTAAAATAAATCAACAAAAATACGTCTTTGTTTTTTTTCTCATTGCTTAATCTTGTTACATACTCCAAAGTACGATATACAATAATGTATTGCATTCTCTATATATTTTCAATTAATAACCACTACTTAACAAAAAAAAAAAAATCGAAAAAACTTGTTACAAAGTTTTTACAGTTGAAAAAGTTTTCATTTGTTGATTTTTTGTTCTATTCCAATAGACTATACTGTCATATCACCTTATTATATTCGTTGATTCAGTCGTCTCTAAATCTATTTTTCGTATAATTTAACATTTATACCTCGGTTAATCGAATACTAAATGGATTCGTTTGTAAGAGCCATTAAGAATGACTTCAAATGGTATGAGGTAGATCCAGATAGCTCTCACAAATCCAGTAATCGCAATTTCCAGTTTCTTCAGCCTTACAAATATTAGATACATGCTAAAAGTCTTTCTAATTGTGCATAACTTTTTAAATATACAACTTTTTAGCATTTGAAAAAAATTTGCCAACATAATTTTTTGCTCATTTTCCGTAACAAAACATTTTGGATTTTACATTCTTTTTTTTCTATAGTGAATCGTCACAAATATAAGTAATATTTATTTTAAAATAATACATGAAAATTAAATAAAGCAAATACTACATGACCAAGTCATGAATAACTTTTGTACTTATCAATTGTACGTACAAAACGATTTTAAATGATTTTTTTCAATCTTTAACTCTATACAACATTTTGTATGAAAATCTTTATGTTTATTATGCTCTGCTAAGTGTGTCAATGTTTTTTAATTAAGTTAATCAGGGATCGTAACTAACATGGAAAACCCTGTGTAGTTACAGCAAATTTAATAACTTTAACAAGTTATAAAGTATTCGCTAAGTAATATTTTACTTTTGAGTTGTGAAATATAAAAAAGAGATATCTTTTATAACAAATGTGTTTCAACTATTTTTATGACGAATGTATTTACTCTATTTTTTCATAAATTTAATAAATTTCGGAAATTTAGTGAAAAAAAAAAAAAAATTAATTTCAATATAATGACTAGGAACTAGTTATTTAAAAACAATTATATTTATGTACGCGTTAAGTACAGTTGTTCGTGTCTCATAAGTATCTTCTGGCTATTACATCTATTTCCCAAATAATTTCAATATCAATTAGCCGCCCATGTCTTTTAATACAGTATTGTAGAGTAAAAGCACCCCTCAAATAATCTCATAAGTACAGTATTAATTAATAAATTGACTAGTATTATCTATTGCATATTTAGAGCCACTAATTTTACTCGTTTGTTACTGTGACTTTTTAAATTAATTCATCTACTTACATTATACAAAAACGTACTTACGAGAGAAAATTTAATGTTTGTGTGTGCACAATGTCTCACTTACGTGCAAATGTATTTACATGAATCTTATACAATACTTAATGACATATTTGGAAAGAGTCAAGTGAAGTGTGGAAAATATACACACGGCTTGGATTAATCGAATGGAATTTTTCGATCGCTGTCGTCTTACGCAAAAAGCATAATATTGAAAGCTCCAAGTACACTCTACTACTTGTTAAGATTTTAAAATATTAACTAAATTTTTTTTTTTTTTTTTTTTTATCTAAGCGATTGTCCAGTCAGCTTTTTTCTGCAAAAACAAACGTCTCAATCAATCTCTGTCCCAATAAATTCGGATGAGTAAAAACGATTAAAATAAAAAAATCACCTGTATATGTGCATTGTCCCAAGATTGCTTATACAGTATTATTCTTGCTTACAGATAAATGGAATGCGTGTTTTTGGTTCGTTTAAAAACACCATTAAAAGATGGAGGATGAGTATAAGAAACGGAGGGTAAATTGTTTAACATCGAAAAGACTATCCAAGAGTTTGCATGTGTGCAGGATTAAAGAGTTCGGCGTTTTCTTCGCTATCCATAGACTGATATCCTTGCTGCGCAATTACATTAAGCCATTCGTTATTTTTTTTTTTTTTTTTTTTTTGTTTAAGCTCAAGAGCCTATAGAATTACTAACGCGTCTTTGCCGACTGGTAAAGCCCTCGTCCAGCAATTCAGTTTCCCAGTCGTCTTCTCCTTCTTCGCCAGGGTCAAAATTGTACAGTGGCATTAGCCTGTGACGAAGTCTTTCCAACTTGCGCTTTCTCGATATAATTATCACCTGTAATGGACAGATTTTATATATTTGAAGTTAACTTTATTTTCTCGGTATTAGAACTTTCAACAAACACGTGTATTTCTTTTGAATGAGTGTAGATATCAGTTTTAAAAAAAACCAATAACTCTAATACTGTTTTGTGCTCTGAATTTAAAATAAAATTTTGTTACCACAGAATCGTAGATTAGAAAAAAAAAATTATGTAATAAATCTCTTGTGGCGTATTAAAATTAAAAAAACGAAAATTAGTAAATTTTGTAAAAGACAAACATTAATTTTTTACCACGCGTATCGATTGAACAGTATTTACATAATTTTTTACAAAACTCCATTACCAATAAGTAAGTATACTTTGCCGGTTCATACGTAATACTTTGGATGTAATAGATGGTAGGCTACACACATTATTTAACGAGAGTGTGTAAACATGTAGTGGAATTTAACCTTCGGACTCCGAATAACCCCAATAACCCCAAGCCTCCGAACTTCGGAGGCTTGGAAATCTCATAAACAAGTCCGCGTTATGCTTGTTTCAATACGTTTAACCCACAGATTTAAAGCTCAACGTCGAAAGCAATATCCTTTGATCATTGTAACATTTTAACCGATGTAGATGTGCGTGCATTATCTGTAGACTTGTGATTGTGTTGTATGTATCATAATCACTTGGAAGAGGCGTGAAAGAAATAAACTTACCACGGCGGAAAGTACAATAACGAATATCATGACACCGAGGGGTACGAAAATGTACTCGACGCCCTCGGGTGGTCCGAACTCGTCAAACGGGTCCTCCGTACTCGTCGTCGACATGGTCGTGGTGCACAAGCTTGCTGTCGCACTACCACTACTCGTAGTAGCCCTGGGCAGCAGTGATTCGCCGGCACGAGTCAAGTTCCATGCCGTCGAACTGCCAATGGTGGTAGTGGTGGTGGCGGCGGTGGTGGTGGTGGTGAACGTGTTGTTGTACGCCTCGATCGTCTGGTTGTAAAGCCGTTGTACGGTGGTGGTGGCGGTGCTGGTCAGTTCGCTGCTACTGGAGAGCAGCCTCGACGTAATGTTACTGATGGTCGTCGCCAACACTGTCGAACTGCTGTGTAAACTCGGAGTAGTGCTGGTACTGTCTGTGGTCGTTGTTGTCATTGCTGCCGATGTCACTGCAGCCGCAGCTGTGGCCGTTACCAAACTCGATGTCGGCGAGGACGCGGACTGAGGTGACGATAAGCTCGTCGACGTGGTCGTCATCGTCACGTTCTTGACAATCTCCCTCGCAATCTCCATTCTATTTTCCTTGTTTTTCTTCTCTCCTGCCCGATGCCGGGAGCTAAAACTAATTTTGGAATCGAGCACCAGTTAATTACCTGTTTCGGAGTCAAACCCATTTTAGTAGCGTATTCAAGAGCTATATAGGTATTGCTTTTTCAAAACAAACAAAACTGCATTAATCATACGTATGATAAGAAGTAAAACACAAACAGCTCACACACGAGTGCAACGCACTTGCGAAGCATGTAAGATATGTGTACCTGTTATACACACACGCTCTCGTCGGCTAAACTTGAAAGAGAAAACAAGATGCAAGTGCAGTTGTAGGCGGTGTAAGAAAAAAAAAAAAAAAAAAAAAAACCTCAAGAGATGCGGCCAAGCAAAAAGAGGTGCAAGACGAAGCATCGGATGTGAAAATGTATAGAAAAAAAAAAAAAAAAGACAAAAAGTAAAATTGTTTTAAAAAACCTTATTGCGAGGGGAATAATTACTTGCCGGGTTGAAATTTGGAAGTTCACGCATTATAACCAAGTCGCGTTGGCCTCGTCCCGATGACCAAAAGCAATATCCCTGCGGTTACTTATCGCCGCTCCAGCTTTTTCACTGCCAACAATTCAACACACCAAGCTTGCAATGATTTCTCATTAGATGTACGTTTATCCCTGCTCCTTCTGTCCTATACAACTTTGACCAAAGTCTCGAAGTATAGTATAGTATACTGCACGCATCCATACGCGTTACTTTTTGTCGGAGATATGTCTCGTTATGCGATAAGATAACGGCAACCGCACACCACCGCCAACGGTATTATACATATATACACCCGATAGCGTCGATCGGCAAAGTTGTACATGTGTAAGTATTAATCGAAAGACTGTCAAAAGAAGAGGCCCGAGAAAAGACGCAGGTAAGTAAGTACGATGGGCTTTATCGTCCCGTCGTTTATATGGGGTGGGCCGCGCAGTGCAACGTCAATCGCGGGGGGGGGGGGGTTAGCGGGCTATAGGGGTAGGCGGTGGTGTACACGTAAGACAGTGGGGGGGCGCACACGGCGCAGTTACCCCAGCAGCAATCCACTGTTGATATTATATATATACATGTCCTGCGCGCTACGTACTCTCTGCTAAAGTAACATTTACACGAACCCCACACAGGCTTGAATTCGTACAAGTTGGACGTAATTTTTTTCTTTTTCATCGGGGAGGTAAAATTTCTTATTCTCGACCGCGGGGAATTGTCCAAAAGGGGAGGAGAAGGCTTGGGTAGTGTCATCAGATTACCGCAAGTTGCGCGTGTACTTCTTGCCATCTCGAACGGTTGGTCTTTTTACTTCACGTGCACCAAAAAATACGAGCCACGTTTGTACGTGTCTTTTTCCGTGCCAATTTGCGTCACACGCGGTGAGTATTGTATCAATTCTGTCTTTGCCCCCCATCTCTTCTTCCCCCTCATTTTCTTAATTTTCTGTCTTCGCGTCGTTTTCGCAATTTACGGGCCTTTATTGCGAATGATTTATTGCCAACAGCAGCACAACAACATTGCACGTTTATGTACAATATTATAAATACGTGACGTATAGGTGCGCGTATACTATATTGAAAGTCAAGTCGCGGCGCGCGAACAGAACATGCAACTTGGCGCGAGAGTCGATGTACTCATGCAAGTAACAATTTTACACACGTATATATGCGAGCACTATATACGTACAAGCGTGTAAATATAGATTTGCGCGTTTTTTGCCGCCCTTCGATGCACTTGTTCACTTAATTGATGTGTATCTTTTACAATTGTACCTTTTCAATTTTTATCGTGTACATGTTGCGGCTTGATTACATGGTTTTTGGAAGTATGTGCGAAAAAAAGATTGAAGTTTCGTTGTGGCGACTCAAGCGGTAGCCGATCTATAGCAGATATGAGTAAAATTTTACGTTACATTAACTGGACGTTGAATAAAGTGAGCATTCGCGAAGAAAAGTGTGAAAGAAATGCGCATATAATATATATGAACATAAAACGGTAAAACTGCTGGTTGACATTTTGAAACACCAACGACTTTTACATACTTACTCGTTTCGAAAGGAGTAAAAAAAAAAAAAAATAATAAAATTGCTTGAACTTGAAAAGGGGGTTGATTTGCTGTTTGGCGGTACCTATACATTGGCGCGGTCAATGCGTCAAACACCCACTGCAGACACAAGTGTGGTGTTTCCTACCATGCCGATTTGAGCTAATGACATAAAATTCATACCGAATAAATATATCTTTGGAACATCGTGAGCGTTGAAATAATGGCAAAGTGTTCACGAGCCATGTGTGATTATTAAAAATTACCATAAATTTTCGTACAAAAGTGTATAATTGGTACATCGGGACAGATATCCGTTTTACCAACGCGGATCGGCGGATGCGGGGCATCGATATGTTTACGTGAATTGAATCGGCCTCTGCGGCGGAGGCGCATGGTAAAGTTCTCTCTCGATGGGTGTAGTCGGAGTGTACCCGACGACGGCAACTTTATTTTATTTTATTTTTTTCTAATTAACCGGGCACCTCTCCCCGCGCGTTTGTACGTTTTTTTAGCAGTCACCGAAGCTCCCTTCGCACGCTTACTTGGCCATATATACCGTCGGCACGGTGATCGATCTGTGTTATAAAATGCCCGTAGGAAAATTAAATTTGATTCCGACAAACCGATCTTGTGTGAGTAGAACGCGAAGTAATTAAATATATGCATGTGTAAGTGTAACTCTTTCCCCTCTGGGTCTTGCTGACTCTCTGCTCCTGATGATGATTGCTTTTAAATAAGTACCTATATGTACGTATGACTTTAGGAGCCCTCGATATCAGTAACTTTGGCAAAAGAAATAAACAATAACAAGAGACCCATGCATCGAATGAAAAGAGAAGATGAGAGAAAAAGTTTCAAGAAGAACGCAGAGTAACAGCTGACGAGAGGCTGAAGGGGGGAAAAGAAGACGTCGAGGGACCGAGGAAGTCGTCGTGTGTGCTGGTGGTACACCATATACCTATAAAGTAAGTGTACAAATATATATATATAGGTACCCTGGCTGCAAGTATATAACCTGCAGAGAGAAGAAGAAGAACCGGTCGCTATACTTACTGATGTCTTATCTTCTCTTTCTCTCTTCTTTTTCCTTCCCTTCTGAACGTTGTTCTCCTGATCGCGGGTGTCCGTTCGTGTTCGTAGTACTTACTACGCATGTGTGTGTGTATCAAAATGTAATATGTTCGTGAGAGAGTGCACTGTGCGCAGTGTGTCTCCACCTAGTCCACCTCCTCCCGCATCATCATCATCGTATTGTGTGCATATGTAAACACATGATACCTAATGAATCATCAGTATTTAACTTATCATCACTGTCGTAAGTTAAGTAGTCAGTACACACTCATTTCGTGATATACTTGAACTTCGTGACGTGCAGCGCCTACATACATATATACTTTACCTATAGTTAGATTAGACAGAGATGAGGAAGAGGACGTATATACGGTATATCGAGGACGTGGAGTGATAAGAAGAGTGTGAGGATACACCATATATTTAAAATATAATATATTATAATAATGCAAATAATGCATGCGCACACGAAAGCATGCGCGTGTAAAATGCCAAAAGTGCCAGTGTGATGATAAATGTGAATTAATGATATGCGGTTGTGACGATGATGATTGCGAGTAACGAATTTGTAAGTACCAAATGAAGGATCGAGCGAATCTGCCATACATATTTTAATTTATCCTCTTACCGTTAACCTAAAAAAAGAAAAAATTCGCCAGCCTCCTCCCCCCCCCTCTCTCTCTCTCCGTTATGTGTACATGTGTGTGCTCATACACACATATACACACGAATCGTTCTTTTTCTTTCTCAGTTTATTCTCTCCGAGACAGCTCCGACTCCGAAATATGTGCGTGCGATCGGGCGCCTCTTGCATATATATACATCTACACCCAATAGTATAATTATATACTTATATATTCTGCATGCGCAGCCTGCACATATTTTTCTCACTCTCTTGCTCGCTCTTTCTTGATTCTTGCGGATGTGTCACACACAAGAAGCGCCTTTATCTTCTCCTCGTCTCCTATCCTCTTTACTTAATCGTATATCTTTTTTTTTTTCTTCCTCCTCTCGAAGTACTACGTTTTTGTGCTCGTACTGTGAGTATAATATATAAGTGAACGTACTACTTAGGTACAGCAGATATAAATACTTGTAGGCTCCATTTTTTTCTCAACTTTTCTTTTCCAAGTTTTACACTGTACGTAATTTTATTCATTGGTGAATGTATGTATGCACATTTATGATTATTGCTTATTGTACCTATACCTAGTAGTTATGAGTCAATGATAACGAGAAGGTGAATAAGTGACGGTGTATAAATAATTAGCAAGGAGGAGAGGTGGTGAGCAAAGCAGAACACGAAGCTTGAAAAATATGACATAAACAACGCGAAAGACAAAGAAAGAGAGAGAGAGAGAGAGAGCAGCAGACCAGACACAGGGGCCCTATCCTCTAAACGTGTTGGCAGGCGACATAGCCAATACACAGCTAAAGGAGCTCTCTGATTGGTCGAAATTGACTGTGTTGGCCTGGTGTCAGTTGTGTCACCCACCGACACACTTATATTAGAGGATAGGGCCCCAGACAGCTCAGTCGGGAGAGCTATATAGGATATATAGGCGCCTGGCGCAATATAGCTATATGATACATTAGTGTTGTCAAATCGGAGTGCGATGTCACCTGCAGCTCTGCCGTATTGTCAATTATTATCATCGTCGCCTCGGTATCGGAGTTTCTGCTCTATGTTCCGCGGCAACGTTTATACGTGTAAGTATACTATATACACAATTCGGTAAATAGATAAACAGAGAGACGCGAGAGATTTTTGCGCTCCCCTTCCCGTGGAATTTCGCTCAAGCAAAAGAAATCAGACATAATATACATATACGCACACTATAATAGCACAGCAGCAGCATCATCATCATCATCATCATCATCGTCATCGTGCAGACTGCACCATCAGGCGCCTGCACATCGTGCGAGAGACGCAGTTTATTTTGATTTCGCGTGGATATTATGCGCTATAATAGCTCGGCCTCGAGCACCAGCAGTGCAGTGTCTGTCTCTCTGTGTTTTGCAATTGAACGCATATACATACCTACTTATTTTCTCGCATGCGCGTGTATGTGTGTGTGTGTGTGTGTGTACATATTTCGTTCCACAAAGCACACGGGCATTTTTTTCCTTTATTTTTTAATTCCTTCTCCCCTTGCAGTGTCAGTTTTCATGTCTTCTTTATTTTCCAGAATTGACTTTGTGTACAAGATATTATTTTTGCTGTCGTTGTCGATTGCTCCGAAATTTGAGTTGTGTGTTGTCGTTAGCGTATACGCGGCGCGCGCGCGTGTATATGTGCGCGCACGCGCTAATGTTTTGATTTGATCAAGCAGCAGACAGAGAGTGTCAGAGTTTAATATTTGCATGCACGTATATGCATTGTACGTGAGTGTGTGCGTGTGTGTCGCTATATTGTTTATAAAGTGGTGTTCTTTTCTTTATGTTGCAGTGTTATCACAATCGAACTGGAGATGATTTCTGGCTAGTGAAGTTAGAGGTGTTCTCGGTACAAGAGACTTGACACTGAGATTATATGATGTGTTTGTGATTTGAGTGGCATATACGAAGCAACCAAATGTGTCTATTAATTCAATGTTAGGCCAGATGATTTTATTATCTTTGGTAAGTTACTGGCAAAGTTACTATTTGTAACGCAATTTGTCGTCATTATCCACTCTAGCTTAACAATGTAATTCCATTTTTCAATTTCTTTTCTTTTTTGTTTGCAGATGTACAAAAACATATTTTATATTTGAACATTTTTTAAGTAATACCGTATATATACATATATGTAGATGAAACTTCGTAAGAATTTGTGATGTGCAAATTTTACAATTGCTCACACGTACTTTAGCTGAGAAAATTGCAGCCATCAGTATCATCATTACCATCATCAGCTTGAAATTTTGATTCTAAGAAATACATATATATGTATATTTTTTTGAGTAAATGGTGCTAGTCACTGCTTTGAAGTGGATCTAAGGTAAGATTTTTGGCTGTTAAGGAAATTTAAAGAAAATTTTCACTCTTTCTCCCTTAGCAGTTTCCCTAAACAAAACATGTTTATGATTGAGGAAAATATTGTTTGTATACAAAGCGATAAAGTACAAAGTTTTATTACTATTTTTTTTTTTGTTTACAGACACACACACACATGCAATGCCGAGATGCTGCAATGAGAACAAATCACTGAGGCTGGTGAGCAGCAATCAGCAACACGGCACAGATAATATTTTACTCCCACACCCTCGACCTTATTCCATTGCTGGTGGAGAGCAGTTAGATGTAGAAGAGGATCCGCCTGTGGTCGTTGTTCAAAGATCTCACAGGAGGGTACGCTGTGATCTTAGTCCTGTCCCTACCAATACTAATTCCAATTACATCAAGTTAATTGGTATAAAGGTAAACTAGTATTTGATAAAAATATATGATTGCTTGTAAAAGTTTCACTTCATACAAGTATTGTAGGACAAATCCAGTCGACAAGAAAATCAATTAAAACACAGTCCTGGAAGTAGTGGACATAGAGATAGAGAAAGAGAGGCAAAAAAGAGAGCAGCTATAGGCAACGTAGTGCGTGGACTTTTCCCTTCAGGCCATAGTAGGCAGGACAGGTATAATGATGTCCGTATCAAAGTCACGCTTTTTACACTATGATTTTCTTTTATTTTTTGAATTATTTTTAAAAAATATTGTCATTTTGTATGTTATCCAAAATTGACATAAGTTAATAAGAAGCTATTAGCTATCTAATAGCCAATGGCATCTTGTTGATCAACAGTAAAAATTTAACCATACGATGGGTACTCATAATGACATAAGGATAAAAAAAAGTGTTAATCAAATGATATATTTGACTTTTCATTTTAAAACAAAATAACCTTTGTTGACTAGATGAAATATTAAATCAATTTGTGTGAAATGACGCAAAAGATAGTGAATTATTGTAATAAGAAATCCGTTGAAAAGTTCATTAGAATTAGGATGTTCTCCTTTAAACAAAGATTTAAAATCACTGGAAAATTAAGGTAGTGGTCAAAGTGTTACCAAGCCATGTCCGCAACAATTACTCAACTATAATCCGTTACCTAAAACAGCCTCATCATTTAAACGTTTTGCTTAACAATGTAAACATAACTCATCCACCAGTCCTTAATAATTTCCTGAAATCTGATGTAAACAAAACGTTTCAATTTTGACGTTGTCTGCGCTTGCTTTCTGTATTTTGTGCACATTTTCTTATGTAAAATTGCTCTTCATTTGTATGAGAAAGTTTGAGTTCGAGCTTATTTCAGAAAAATGAATCTATAAAAAAAATTCAGTTGAATAAAATTATAATCATACAAAATTATGTGTCAATCCAAAAAATAAAAATAAGTAAGAAATAATTTAAAAGTACTAAAACAGAAGTGTAATTATTGTAAAGTTACAAGGAAAATGATAAATAAACAGATGTTCCATATTATGATATTACGTAAAATCGACTTGTGTATTTAGGTTTCTAAATAGTTGTACTGAGATTGACTACTTTTGATATGCAAGGTAACTAGTTAAAGTTAAAGATGGTTATCGTCTCATTTCACTTGCAATGAATTTTAGTAACAGATAGAATTTGTCATGGTATACGTTACAAAACGATTAGAATTTTTGGAATTATCGTCTATCAGTGTATAAAATCAGTTTTTTTTATAAAATTTAGCTAAATAAAGTAAAGAAAGGTCAAGTTTTTCATAAGTGTAAGGATGATATTGTCATACTCAATAGTAGTTTGTAGTAGTTATGGTTTTCATTTTTGGTTGTAGTTACGGTCTTCATTAGGTTCAAAATTTTTGTTTTGCTTAATAAATTTAGTAATAGTTTGATAAAAGAATAAAAATTTTTTAATGTATTCAAAGTAGTTTATTGACGCATGTTAACATGACGTAATGTATTTTTTCCCGGGTTACCACCATAGCCTATTGGCCTAGTCGCGGGGCCCACCTACTCACCACCTATACATGGGAGTGTATTGCTGCACCTGATTCGGAACTTTTAATTAATATCATATCTAATCATACCATAGGCAAAGTGTAAGTATCTCCGGTGGAGCACCTGTTCAGTTAAGCTGACACTCTCCGCACCAATGGTGCAGTAGGTCCACTGGCCACTGTGTAGCTTTTCCCCAGAGAAGACTCCATTATTCCAGGACGTCCACTCCTCTTCAGTTAAGCCTGCGCTCTCTGCCGAAGCATCGAATCCAAGCTAATTAGCATCCCCGGAGAAGCCCCGTGTTTCAGGGGCCACTCCTCGCCGGTAAGGCCGGCGATCCCTGCCCGACGCCTGGCATTGGGTCCGCTAATCCCTACCTATAACCCTAACACTGTTTCGCATTCACCCAGGCCCGAAAACCTGACAAGGAAAAAACCCTGGAATTACTCTGACGGAAAATTCCACGGAAAAACCCGCCCCGAAACAGCCGGGCTTACATAGGAACTTTTCCCGATGAAAACAGTTTTTGAAAAAATCTGCATTCAGCGGGAATCGAACCCACGACCCCTAGAACTGCGTTTACTAATAAGCATGCTTACCACTGAGCCAACGCCGCTCCTCACGTAAATTTTAATTATATGAAAACAATGTGCGATAAACAAATGCCTGGTGGTTCACCCAGGGAATTAGAAACTGATTATTTGAAATGTGAAATTTGTCTGGAAAATAAAATACATAATTTACTATTCAATAATGGCAGGCCAAAGATATTTTAGAAATTGTACGTACCAATTTAAATGGACCTTATGATACTACCGGTTTCAATGGCGAGAAATATTTTATGAGTTTTATCGATGATTACAGTAAAGTAGCTGAAGTGTTTTTTATTTAATCAAAAGATGAAGTATACAATTGTTTTGTTGACTGTGTAAATTTAATTAAAAGTAAGACAAAAAAAAAAGATTAAAAGATCAAGATGTGATAATGGAAAGGAATATATAAATAAGGACATACATAATTTTGTAAGCGAGAACGGTATCTCTATTGAACCGTGCCCACTTTATGTACGTGAATCAAATGTAACGGCAGAAAAAAATGACAGGAATATTATTGATATGTCTAGATGTTTATTAAAAAAAGCAAGGGATAATAGTTGATTTTGTCGCGAAACAGTTAAAATAGCCGCTTTTTAAAAAATAGAACTATCACTAATACTATTGAAAAGAATAAAACACGTCTTAAAATTATGTTTGGGGAAAGCCTAGTATGAAAAATTAAAAAATTTATGAAAGTCAAGTTCTTTTGAGAATACCAGAGAAATAAAGACATTGAAAATGGGTCATGAAAAGCAGACTTAGAAATTTCGTCAGGTTATGGAAATGTTGCTTGTAGAGTTCTAATGAATAATAAAATAGTAATTGAAAGATACGTTGATATTACCGAAGATGGCACAGATTGTGTTGGTTTAAAATCAGAAAATGGCACAGTAAAATATAGTTTAAATGAAAACAAAGTTGGAAACATGAATGGCAATTAAAAAACAAACGGCAATGTTAAAAATAAAAACTTTAATTTAAGACGGTCAAATAAGGAAAGAAAAAAGCCTGATAAGTACAGAGATAAAAATTTTGTATATAGTGATATTACTTATGTAAATTATACAAATGCTGAGACACCTGTTTCTTATAATGATGCGATGAATTGAAATGTGTCTGAAAATAAAAAAAGGCAATGAATAGAGAAATAGATTGTTTAAACAAAAACAAGACATAGATTTCTGTAAATAAACCACATGATAAAAAAAGTTTGGATTTAAAATAGGTTTACACTAAAATGGCTAACGACGCTTCTAAAGCTAGGTTAGTAGTAAGAAGATACCAACAAAATGTTTTAGGTGATGTTTATTCACCAGTTGCGAGAATGCAAACCTTAAAAATGTTACTTTCTTATTAATGTTAAAATAATTCAATTATCAAATGGATGTATAAACAGCGTTTCTTTAACAGTAAAGTCAAATCTAAAGTGTATATAGAACAGCCACAATAATATGATGATAGCTCTTATAAGGTTTTAAAATTAGAGAAAGCGTTACATAGATAAAGAGAAAGCCCAAGATCTTGGTATTAGTGTTATGATACTTATTTAAAAAGTTTAAACTTTAAAAGAAGCGAATATGATTATTGCTTATATATCTTAAATTCAGATATCCCATGTCATATATTTAATATTTATTACTTTGAAACTCAGAGTTTCGTTTTTAAATAATAAAAAGCAAAGGCTCAGCGATCACGAACCACCGAGTGGTACACCTGCTTCTGCAATCGCGTGACATATCACCTACTTCTTTTGAAACAAGCTACCGTCGCAAAACATGAACTACGCGTGCAACCTCCGAAAATCTTATTAAGCGCTCATCTTACAACATCTATTCGCAGTGGTACATCCAAGAATGTGAATAATCAACAATTTTAATATTCTTTACTGCGTATGCCCACAAGAAATATCATACACAATTTCAACAGCAACTTGTACTTAAGGAAGTTAGCTTGTAATTTACTTAACGATAAAAATGTTTCAAAAAAATCATGTGTGGTTAAGAAACATTGTATGGATGTTGTCACCAAATTTGAACATAATTGCGTCTACAGATTTCGAGAAAAAAATTCATGAAGTTTCCCTATTTAGTCGTCTTTAATATAGGCTCAAATCTAAGTTATTAAAGAAGTTGTAGAAAAATACCTATTACGCTTGACACAGCAATATGTTATTAACGACAACTTCATTGATACATGTGCAAAGTTCAAACAAAATCGCATTTGCAGTTATGGAGATATTTGCGCAAACGTAAACAAATTTGTTTCCAGCTCGTGTGCTACATTTATGCGTGAGACAAGGATGAACTGAGTACACTGTTTGCTGTCAGGTTGACTTTTTACGAGGTATGATATATTTTCACAAAATCACTTCCAGAAGCGGTTCTACTCAAAATTATGATCCAAGACTTGGTAAAGGCCTTAATAAGACTTTGTACTTTAATGCTATACCATTAAAATTTCTAATTTTAAAAATTTATAGCACACTTTTATTGAAAAAAAATCAAATTAACTATACTATTTACTCTTTATTTTTCATCTCCCATAGAGAAACTATTAAGGTTATTTAATTAAAACCACAAGAAACTAGATACCTTGAAGAATATTCTATAATTTTTTTGAAGTATATTATTTGTTACAAGTACTGGCGAGTTGAATACCAATGCATTTTCCGTAATCAAATGGGTGGATGTTTTTAGGCTAGGTTAGTACAGCAGACTTTATCACAGCGCTTTATGAACATACCCGTGCTCTCCTTCACCTCCCCGTGGAAGCAACCCAACTCCCTTATTGTTACATTCGATAGATCAGCCGTTTTAACTATGAATAGCTGCGTAATTAGTGCACCATGACTGTGCTTGTGTCAATCGAGAGTGATAAGGTTAAGCTCTGGTTAATCAATTTGAATTCCCAACTTGATGCGACCTCCTTAAACGCAAGAGTATAAAAACTCCTTGCACATAACAATTCTTGCCTATTATCTTTCATCAAGTGCTCCAAAATAACAATAAAGGTTAGGGAGTGAGTTCTGTTGCATCTTTTAAGCGGATG